TGTTACTTTACTGAAGTAAAAAGCGTCAATACTTCTTCCATCCCTGCTGTTGAGGTGTGATGATTCAGGGATTCTCTCTAATGATCAGTCTGATAACAGATGTTGGTCAATCGTTGATTATTGATCATGAGTCCCTGTGTTCTTGTCTCAGTACTCAGATCTGGAGCTGGCCATCAACACGTTGGTCACAGAGTTTCACAAAGCTGCAGACGACCAACCGACCATGAACACCACCCAGTTCCAGACCATGATCTCCAAACAGCTGCCTGGATTCGGCAAGGTACAGACCACCATGACATCACAGCTCTGGCTGTGATCAATAATCAAACTCTGACAGGTTATAAATGCAGCTCTGTGAGTTACATTATCTGTCACCCCTCATCAGTTGAGTAAAGTACAAAACCTTTTCAGCCTCGTCTACATGGTCAGATATTTTTGGGAACAGATATTTTCCTCTACACTTTTGCCCAAACTGAACGTTCACTCACTAAAACACAGATTTTTTTAAAACACCTTCTACGGTGCAGATTTTTCTAAACAGTGGTAACTGTATCCGTGCAGATGAAAAACAAAGCGTTTGGGAAGCAGCAGTGACTCAGACATGGACGAAAAAAGCTTTTCATGTCGGCATGATACGTGACAGGCGCTGACCGGGCACGACCGGACAGGTGGGAGGGGGGGTGGATGGGTCCAACAACCACAGACTTTCACCCAGGAGGCTGGTGTTCACTTCCTATAAGACTGTAAAGCCAAACCCTGTTCTTTTTTTAGAAACCCAACCACGTGTTTGTTGTTGAAGGAAAAAGTCACCAAATCACAGTTTTGTACTGATGACGTGCTTTTATTCTGAAAGGGACTGTATGCAGGAAACTCAGCGACAGGCCGTTGAAAAACACCTGTGATTGGTGGCTAAAAAGCTGCTGGATCTGTCACCCATTGTCTTATTAAAAAACAACCAGTTTTGCTGCTGTAGGTCTTGCGCAGTGGTTTGTGGTGGTCTGAAGCCATTTCACCTGCAGGTGACACTTTAGAAACGTTGATATGACACGTATGAAACATGCAAATATTATCTGTAGTTTGCAGAAATGTACAGTGTCAACATGTTCTTCTGGCAGCTGGGCGGAAACAATGGGTTTAGATCATTCCTCAGGTATTTGACTTATCACTGGCGTATCCTTTATCACCAGCTACTGGCCCAGAGAGCATCTGGAGTCCAACAGAGACTGTTTGTGAAACGATGGGCGTGTGGACAGATTCTTTTTTTTTTTTTTTAAATATCAGTTTAAAAAATATCTGTCTCCATGTGACAGGGCCGTAATTTTAAGTTTATATGTTGAAATGTTTTGGGTGTGACTGTGATATAAAACATAAAGGAGTCCCAGATGTCCACATTCAGACAATGATGTCCATATTTCCTCATATTTTGGCCGTCAGTGTCTGCAAGTGCTTCGCTGTTGACATCACTGTCCCGTGAGTTTTATTCTGTTGACTGTTTCCATGTGTAGCTGCACCGACTCACCTCCTGTTAACTGTTTGCAGACTGTGGAGACTGAGGAGGGTCTGGGTCAGGTCCTGGAGCAGATGGGGATCCAGGGCGGTCAGAGCATCTCCTTCGAGAACTTCTGGAATCTGATCAACAAACAGGCCATCCAGCTGTTCAACTCCATGTACAAGGAGAAGAGCGCCAACTGTGGCTGCCTGCTGCAGTGAAACCTGCACCACAGACACACCTGAGACCACCTGCACCACAGACACACCTGAGCTCGCTGTCTAGTCTCTCTGTGCTGACCACAGGGGGGCACTGCAGGACAAGAGTCAGACAGGAAGACACACAGGAAGAAGAGAAGAAGAGTTTCACTGATGATATTCAAAGATTGTTTGTGTCACAAATGAATTACTGCATTTAATTTGTTACTGAAATCTGTTGGAACTGGTCTGATTGTACGGAGGATCAAAGACGACTTATTAGAAAATAAAAATCATAATAAATGAATGAAGTAATCAACGACTGGAATCATTTAATACAATGAGAAATAAGATTTAAAAAAATAAAAATGATTAAGAAACAAAGAAATACATTTCAAAAATTAAATAGGCTATATAAAACCAATAGAATAAATTGTGGAATAAATGTAAAACATACAAAAAATATTAAGAAATCACTAAAATTAAAATTGTGTAAAAGAAAAAAACAGACATGCATTTTAAATTACACAAAAATAAATAAAACCTAAAAAAGACAAATGTTTATTAAGAAATAAATGTATAAAAAATACACCAAGAAATTGAGATTTAATTAATGTGTAAATTAATAAAAACTTTAAATAATATACACAGAACTGGTGTAGACCAAACCTGATTACATGGGAGAATTATAATAAATCATTAAAAACATTTAGAAATAAGTTAACAGAAATAATAATGTATGAATAAAAAAAATATTACAAGATAAATTACAAATTTCTTTGTGCCAAAATTTAGAAAATAAGACAGTAATACTACAAAAAATAAAAATCTACAAAAATCATCATCTACAAAATTAAAATAAAGAAATCCATTTTAAAAAATACAAATAAAAGAAATTTTATTAAAGAAAAATGTTGATAAATTGTGTAAAATTTGTTGTAGGTCAATTTTTAAATGAAAATTATTTCTCTGTTTTTTTCTTTATTAATTTACTTTCCAATAACTCAGGTTTGGTCGTTTATACACAAACTTTAACAGAAAAACTGTGAAATTTTCTTGAAATAAAAACAGCAAAACTGAACCTTTAAATCAACGACTACGTACACGAGTCAAATCTTGATAAAGACTTTTATTTTAACCAACTCTATATCATTCTTTGGTCTCTGCACCAAATATAACCTGCTTCAGTCTTTTCCATTTGTTCGTGTGATTAATAAACGTGTGCTGTTGTGATACTAACACCTGACGTATGTGTTCAGTCTGAATGTTACTAGCGTGTTCTGATGATCTCAGCTCTGATGATGTAGATTATATTTATGTTCCCTGTGTGAATAAATTTGTTGTCACTTTTGATATAACGAACCAGTCATAGTGTTCAGTAAGTTATTTGGTGGGAAAAACAAAAGTTAACAGAAGTTTGTGCATCAGAGTTTACAAAATAAAATAAAGAGTGATTTTAACTTTGCAGAAAAAAACACATTAAAGGCTCAAGTGATAACTGGATCTATGAGTCTGTGAGCGACAGTTTCGAGAATCGAGTCAGTTCCCATAGACCTCCCATTACAGCAGAAATAAACATGTTTACATTCTGGTTAAAAATGTTTTTGGTGTCTCTTTATTTATCTTTTTATTCTATCTTACTCCTGGTTATTATTATTATTATTATTATTAGTGGTGGTAATAGTAGTAGTATTTTTGTCAGATTTTCTTCATTTCATATGTAATTTACTTTTCCTGGCTCAACCTCAGACAGATGTTACCTGAGCTATCGGACTTGAAGTTTGTTTGTATTTGCTAAGCTTAATAAAGGATTATTGGGGGTGCAAAAAGACTTTAGTGTGCACAATTGAAAGAAAGTATGGAAGCCGGTTTCTGCCACTATTACACTAAAAAGCCAAATAGCTGTGCCACTGTAAGGAGCCATATATTGTGCATTTATTTGTTTTGTGGGGTAATACTTTAAAGCACAAAATAATGACTGTGTAGCCTATCATACCTGACTTTAGATCTCTCTTGAAATAGCTTTAATCAGCTCTTTCTGAGCAGCTTGCTGCTTTCCAGTAAATAACAACAACAAATACCTACACACATAAGGCTCAATATATGGAAAAGGCTGAACTGTAACACAGCACAGAAGCACTAATATTGGCAGCAGAAAAACAGGCACTTACAAGATCAACAGAAGCAGGGGTCTACCACAGCGGACAGGACCCCAAGTGCAGGCTGTGCAAAGATGCTCCTGAGACAGTTCAGCACATAGTAGCAGGGTGTAAGATGTAGGCAGGACCAGTGTACATGGAACGCCTTAACCAAGTGGCTGGCATAGTGTACAGGAACATCTGCACAGAGTTTGGGCTGGAAGTCCCAAGGTCAGAATGAATGACACCTTCTAAGGTGGTTGAGAACGGCCGAGCTAAGAGCCTGTGGGACTTCCAGATCCAGACTGACAAACTGGTGATGGCTAACCAACCAGGCATCATGCTGATCGACACACAACAGAAGAAGGCAGTGGTGATAGATGTAGCAATCCCGAGCGACAGTAACATCAGGAAGAAGGAACATGAGAAGCTCGAAAAATACCAAGGACTGGAAGAGGAGCTAGAAAAGATGTGGGCAGTTAAGGCAACAGTGGTGGCAGTGGTAATCGGAGCACTCGGGGCTGTGACCCCCAAACTAGGAGAGTGGCTCCAGCAGATTCCAGGTGCAACATCTGTCCAGAAGTGTGCAGCCCTGGGAACAGCTAAGTAGTAAGGGCTTCAAGCATTTTAAGCTTGCATTAACCACAGATCTCATGTCAGATATCTAACCAAAAACCCATTAAAACAATCAGTTGACTTCAAAACAAGGGAACTGGCAGTGCTAAAATGTTGACTCATTTCCGGGTTTTAGGTCTCATTCCTGCACCACTACACCACCACTAGAATGGACCCAAAGTTTCAAAAGACAAGAGCAGCTATCCAATACTGACATGTAGCAGTAGCCACAATAAGAGAAGTTATGTAGTCTAATGTACAAAATGTGGTCTGTCTCTCACCAATCATAACAAAAATAAGATTTTATCAACATCTTCCTCCCTCTCATGACAATGCATTGATAATGTCTGCAGCTTCACAAAGCTGGTGGAATAAAATAATTTTGTGTTCCATGATGCAAATTTGTCTTTATTCAGTGACATTTAAGACCACTTCATATTCTGTTAACATGCAATATAAATGTTCAGTGACTTTCAAAGGAATTAAGAGTATATACATTAAAAAACAGAGATAAAATACAATAGGCTACAGCATGGCTTTATAAACATTCTGAAAACAGAAATCAGGATATATTATTGTGAATTTATGCCTAATAAGTAGAGCAGTAAACCCAATACAAATGTACTGCAGATAAGCTTAAAGATTTGTCTATCTATGCCCTTGTCAAACAATCCTTGTAATGTCTTGCAGCTGGATACAAATGCATGGCACAAAGAAAAACAACTTGCTGTTGAGACATTTTTCATCAACCTGTTGGAGAACAAGGGAAAATTCAAGTGAGGAAGGAAGAGTAAAGGAAAACTGGTGCAAAAAATACTGAACCGCATTACGTGACAAGTGTCAGACTTGGTTCAGGTATCTTAATATTTACCCTTTGTTTGAGGCTTTAACGACAGAACTTTATTCTTCCACTTCACTCTCCACATGAGACTTCTGTGTAAAGAAGAAGAAACACATATGATATGTTTTTGATGAATTTTGATGAAAAGGTGTCTTTGTATTTTGGAATGCCTATCATGTATTACAGTGATTCCCAACTGGTCTTGGGTTTAGCCGTGTCATCGAGCTAGTTTGCTGTCTCTGTCAAGTAGCCGTCCTTTAGTCACTCAGTCTACAGCAGGAAATGACACTTTAAAATAAAAACTCTGTGCTGGAAATTACTTTTAAAAAAGTGTTTTTTATAAACTTCACACGTTTGCAAGTCACTTGTGGTTTATTCAGAAGGAACCAGCGCCCCACCACTTTAGAGACAGTGTATCAGCGCTTTATATGTTTACCTCCCTTGATGTTTTTGCCATGTGCTCAGTGTTACTGTATGTTGCTTCCTCTTAAGCCTGTGTTGAAGTTGAAAAACAAATGTACTTTACGGTAACACTGCAACATTTTAAATTAGATTAAATTAGATCCACACCCACATGACTGTCTTTACAATAAAACATTATAGTTTTGTGATCAAAGACATGCTTGGTTGAGCTCTAATTACTGTATCCCCTTTAAATAACAATAAAGGTACAGTACAGAACTGTAGTAACACAAATGACAATGATTACATTCATTACTTTTATGGTTTAATGCGGTCATATTTTACCTCATATTTTACAGTTGTTGTGGCTGATGATTCTTTGTTGGTCTGCTCTAAAAGACAGACAGTAAAAACATTTTTTACTAACTTCTCCGTGCTTAAAAACAATAACGCACAGCAGTCCTCATTTCAAATTAAATACTTCAGAATAACCAGATTTGTTTTTACACATATTGGTTTCATCGGTTCACCATACTTACTGTGTTTTTTGAACATAAACAAGGTGAATGAGGTCACCATTACAACGAAGATCAACACAGCCAGACGGATACCGAAAATCTTTAAGTGATCAAGAGGACTGAAATTTGAAACACACAATGCAAATGAATTAAAAAACAAACAAACAAACATCCTTCAATGAAGATCAGCAAACCCAGAGGGACGATGAAGTGCTTTAGGTCAACTGAAACACTGCAACATACATTTAAAGCACACAGATAAATGGACTAGTTAAAACAGTCCAACAATGTACAGTAGTTGCATACAAATGCAAAGGTCTCTGACCTTTCTCTATGCTGAACGGTGGTGGGTGGTACGTCTGCAAACGCAGGTGATAAGATGGTTGAACAGCTTGTTAAAAAATGTACAAATGATTTTACTGTAGAAATATTTATAATTCACAAATGTATGTTTAGTATTTATAATTACTTAGTACTTACTGGTGGTTGGTTGCTTATCAACAGTTACATGTACTGGCATCTGCAGGTCTCCACTGACACACAAATACCAGCCGCTGCTCTGTGCGCTCAGTCCACTCATAGTCACATTGAAAACATTGGTGACACTTGCATTGATGGTCACTGTTGTTTCATCTATTGATCCAGATGGACTTGTCACACAGGAGCGGCCCAGCCTGCACCACTTGGTTTCTCCAGAGTTTCTATAGTGACAACTGATGGTTATTTTGTCTCCTTTAAATCCTGTAATCGTCTGATGATCCACATAGAGACTGGGTGTGCCTTAAAGGAAAACAAATTCAATAGAAAAGTGTGGGAAGCCTGACAACAATAAGTCTCCAAAGCAAACATTGAGATCCTGCTTAGATTTTTTTCCACCTAATTGTTAAAATGTCACAAACAATTTGAGCATAAAGATGCTTTGAGGGCTCTTACCTCTGGTGACTGACAGGTGAAAATACGCACTGGCATCGGGCCCTGCATCAATCTTCACAGCACACCAGTAATCAGTGTCCTCAGCCGTCAGATCTTTAATAGTCACAGTGAAGATTCTCCGGCTTTTGTCATCAGAGATTGAAACCCTTGAATTTTGTTGGTTTGTTTGAACTACATAAGAGCAGAAGTCCCAGTAATATCCTTTACACAAACCTTTCACATGGTTTATGTATTGTTTGTCATACAGACATGGGATAATGACTGAGGCTCCAGCCTTCACTGACACTTTACTGACTGTAGTTACACTGTGAACTCCTGCAACAAGAACAAAAATAGCATTTTAATGGTTATATCCACTAACAATAATCTTTCTTCATATGACTTGCATATTGTTTATATTAGTTGTTTTTACATATAAGGTCATTACAGTCTTCATATTTGAAATACAAAGTGAAGGGTATTACACCTTATATTCAAAGAATTAGATGCATTAAAACCCCACATTTTAGGTTGTAATAAGACCCTTATGACTGACCTGTTAGTCCAGTGAGGATGAGAAGAAAATGCAGACTGATTGCAGACATGATGGCGAGTGAGCAGCTAAAGACAATGACAGACTGATTTCTTATTTCCTGATTTTATATGCTATTTAAGTGTACTCACCGTACATGTTAGCGTGTTAGTGATATGGGGCTACCTCTTTTTGATGAAAAATGAATGAAAACATTGCTGCACTTTACTTCCTCTTTAGTATGATGAAGCTGCAAACAAGATTTTTCATATTCAACACAAAATGAAGCCGTGCACAATCCTCTGTGCAGCAAGAGATACATCACATTGACTGAGCCGCAAACAGCTTGGTGACAGCTCATTGACAGCTGTCAGAAGCCACAGTGACAGATGACAGTGAATTGAAGTGACTGATGACCAGTCGAATAATAATAATAACAATAATAATAATAATTTGATCCTAACAACTTGAACAATTTCTGAACAATTTCAAATTTACTGTTCCTCTCTAAAATACGTGAAAGATCAGTGGCAGCTCAGGTACACTCTCACCTTAATCACAACAATCTGTCTAAACAATTTTAGTCTAGTTTTCACTCCTTTCACAGTACTGAGACAGCTTTGGTAAAAATCACTGATGATCTCTCAGTGGCAGCTGACTCTGGGCTTTTAAATATTCTCTTTCTTCTTGATCTAAGTGCAGCCTTTGATACCATTTCACATAACACCCCTCTAGAGAGACTAGTTTCCATTGGTATCACTGGCACCGCTCTTGACTGGTTTATATCATATCTCTCTGGCCACACTCACTTTGCTCAAATCAGAAATTTCCAATTCAACTCTTTTCCAGTCACTAGTGGTGTTCCTCAGGGCTCTGTCCTAGGTCCCCTTTTATTTATTATTTACCCTCTAACTCTTGGCCAAATCTTCAGACCACCCAATTCCCTTTCTGATTGCTTACTGGATATCAAACCTTGTCTCTCGTACAACTTCCTCAAACTTAGCAGTGATAAAACAGAGGTTCTCCTTGTAGGCACTAAATCTAAACCAAACCGTTTCTCTCTGACCACTGACAACTCCAAAGTCCTTCCACTCAGGTTAAGAGTCTGGGTGTCATCCCGGACAGCACATTGTCCTTTGAGGCCCACATCAGTAATGTTACTCAGTCTGCATACTTTCATCTACATGATATTAATTGTCTTCACCAGTCACTTACACCTCACAGTGCTACTATCCTCGTTCAATCTTTGGTTGCATCTTGTATTGATTATTGCAATTCTATTCTCTTTGGTCTTCCTCTCAAGTGTCTTCATAAACTCTAATTAGTCCAGAATTTAACCGCCCATATCATTACCACAACCCCCTCCACAGATCAAATCACTCCTGTTCTCCAGCAACTTCACTGGCTTCCTGTTAAATATCACTTTGATTTCAAGATTCTGCTTCTTACCTTTAAGGCCCTTCATAACCAAGCCCCTTCTTACCTGTCTGAACTCCTTCATATCTACACACCCTCCTCTTTGACTTTTAGATCCTCTAGATCACCATCTGCCTGCTTAACTACCGTGGGTTCTAGAGCCTTCAGCCATTCCGCCCCCGCCTTTTGAACTCCCTCCCCCATGACATTCGCAATATTGACTCCCTTTGCACCTTCAAATCCCGTCTGAAAACACACCTTTTCAAGCTGGTGTATTCGGACTGATTTAAAGGTGACACACATATTGAGACAGACAGACAGACAGACAGACAGACTGACAGACTGACATCACCATCCATATAGCCACAGTGCCAATGTGGCTATGAAAAAAAATGTGGGAAAGAGCTTCACTATGTAAAGTACATGAGAAACTGTGTGAGGCTGGGTTTAGATTAAAATGTACACTTCCTACAGTTTGTTGTTCAACAATAACCACAGAGCTGTATGTCACATCCACATCACTCTGACCTGTGGCCCAAACAATTTTCATACAGTCCCTTACCTGGGCTGGAGTTTTTCTCTTTTTCTTAACACTATACATTACTTCCTCTTTGGCCTGTATTAAAAGAGCAGAGGACAACATGAATAAGTATGAGCCAATAATTATTATCAAACCTATTACTGTATTTGTGCTCAATTAAGTTTCTATATGTCAAGGCTTACTCTATTCTCCAACAAAAAATACACAAGAGTGATATTAATTTTCAAGATGTACTTTAAAAACGAAGCAGCATATCTTATATTCGCTGTGGCCGATGATTCTTCTTTGCTCTGCTCTAAAAGTGAATGAAACCTCCCATCAGTGCTCAATGACAACAATGAACAATAGTCTATATTATGGTAAAATGTGTATGAATAAAAAACAGTTCCAGCATGAACTGGATTTATCGAAAAACAGCGTAGACTTATTGTGTCTTTTGAGCAAAAACAAGATGAACAAAGTCACCATTACAGCGAAGATCAGCACGCTCAGACGGATACCGTGAATCTTTGAGTGATCAGGAGGACTGAAACAAAACAGAGGTCTTATTCCAGCAGTCCTACATTATAGTCTAAAATTGATTCATCATCCTGGTCATATCCTGCACTAGTTTTACCAAGTCCTTTAAGTTAATGCCTCTTACAGTAGAACATATCTAATAATATCAGTAAAAACACATGTAGATATTCCCATAAGGACCGTTTCCTAGATCACAAAATGGCCACATTTCTCTATTGTAATATTTATGCAAAGGCTGCTGACCTTGAGTGTCCACTTTGAGCTGTGGGTGACAAAAAAATAGCACCATGATAACGACTTTATTATGACAATTATTAATGCTAATATAACTTACATTTAGAGAATGTTGTACTTGACAAGTAATTCAAGATTAAAATTAATCACAGTACTTACTGGTTGTTGGTTGCTTATCGACAGTTACATGTACTGGCATCTGCAGGTCTCCATTAACACACAAATACCAGCTGCTGCTGTCTGTCCTCAGTCCACTCATAGTCACATTGAAAACATTGGAGACCCTCCTAATGATGGTCACTGTTGTTTCATCTATTGATCCAGATGTCATCGTCACACAGGAGCCACCCAGCCTGCACCACTTGAATTCTCCAGAGTTATGATAGTAACAACTGATGGTTATGTTACCTCCTTTAAATCCTGTAATCTCCTGACGATCCACATATAGAGTGGGTGTGCCTTAAAGGAAAACAAATTCAATAGAGAATTGTGGGTAACCTGACAACAATCAGCCTCCAAAGCAAACAATGAAATTCTGCTTCGATATTTTTTTCCCCACCTAAATGTTGTGATGTCACAAAGAATTTAATATGTGCATAAAGATGCTTTGAGGGCTCTTACCTCTGGTGACTGACAGCTGAAAATACTCTCTGACATCAGGCCCTCCATCTATCTCCACAGCACACCAGTAATCAGTGTCCTTATATGTCACATCTTTAATTGTCACAGTGAAGATTCTTCGGCTTTTGTCATCAGAGATTGAAAACTTTCCAGAATTTCGTTGGTTTGTTTTAACTACATAAGAGCAGTGATTCCAATAAAATCCTTTACACAAACCTTTCACATGGTTTATGTATCGTTTGTCGTACAGACATGGGATAATGACTGAGGCTCCAGCCTTCACTGACACTTAACTGACTGTAGTTATGCTGTTAATCCCTGCAACAAGAAAAAATATGCAGGATTTTGATGTTTATGTTTCCTTTAGAATGTGCCTGTTGTAGGTGTTCATAATAGAAAGGGTATGACAACTAATATTAAAAAATTAGATGCATTAAAACCCCACATTTTAGGTTTTAATAAGACCCTTATGACTGACCTGTTAGTCCAGTGAGGATGAGAAGAAAATGCAGATGAACAGACATGATGGCAAGTGAGCAGCGAAAGACGACAGGCTGGTTTCTTATTTCCTGATTTTAAAAATCATTCATTGTATATGATGTGATAGACTTGCTTTGATAACGTTAATATAACATCTACCGCTGTAATCGTGCAGACAGTATTTGAGTTTATAACACCATTTATAACATATAAAGTTTGAGTCTACTATCACAACTATATCATCCCTGCACTATTAAAAGTTGTATGTACATGTGTCCATATAAAACATTTGATTTTAAATTTGCAAATTAAACTTGGATTGCTGTACCTGCTGTTTGGGGTAGATGTCACTGTTAAGCACATATTCAAGGCAAAACGAAGCAGTGATCATTCCTATAATCTTAATGAATGTGCAGATAATCTGTTGTAAATGTCATCATTTCTATATCAAACTTATAAGAGTGGCAAACACACACTATGAATCAATTGTTGAACTGATTTGTGTGTATACAGTTTTACTTTATTTTCTTGTTTCATAATTTAAACAGTAGCAGTCATTTTACATCAGCACTTAACAAACAGCATCAGTGTTCATGATACAGGTACAGACAAAAAACTTCTTGCAAGTTCTGGAGCGTCTAAAGATGCTCTTAACCTCTATGAGAGGGTAGGATCATTTCTGTCAACACTTTTGGACCCTCTTCAGCTTAAGAAGGATTGTAAGATGGATTTTATCATCATTATAGTTTTTGGTAAGGGGTTTTTGTGTCAAATATTTTGCAGCCATGCAGAAGATGATGAGAAAAAAGGTGTAAATCCTCAAAACAAAAAAAGAAGCTACTGTAGAACCACAGAACAGATGACAACACAATCATCTAGAAGAAAAGAGTCCAGTGATAGACAGATAAGATGTGGGGTAGGGGCAACATTTGGTAACATTTACAGGTTTTGTTGTTGCTGAGCTGCTATATGTTACATCCTCATCTTTTGCTTAAACCTGTTGCAGAACAGAAGAAAAAAATGACAGAAAAGAAAAAAAAAAAAAAAAAAAAAAAAATCTAAATCAACACTAAATCAGACTTACTTTGCATTTCAATACCTGTACATACTACTTAGAATGCCCAGGAAAGAATTAGTATGTGCTAATACATAATATATTAAATGCAGTATGCCAAAAATACCAGGATGTTGTACTGCATCTGGTCACATTTTGCACTACGCAGCATTCTCTTCTGGCTATTCTGACCCACAATTCTCTGCGCAGCAAGAGATACATCACATCAACTGAGGTCATTGACAGCTGTCAGAAGCCGCGATGACAGATGACAGCGAATTCAAGTGACTGATGACCAAATAATAATAATAATAATAATAATAATTTGATCCTAACAATTTGAACAATTTCTGAACAATTTCAAATTTACCGTTCCTCTCTAAAATACGTGAAAGATCAGTGGCAGCTCAGGTACACTCTCACCTTAATCACAACAATCTGTCTGAACAATTTTAGTCTAGTTTTCACTCCTTTCACAGTACTGAGACAGCTTTGGTAAGAAATCACTAATGATCTCTCAGTGGCAGCTGACTCTGGGCTTTTAAATATTCTCTTTCTTCTTGATCTAAGTGCAGCCTTTGATACCATTTCACATAACACCCCTCTAAAGAGACTAGTTACCATTGGTATCACTGGCACCGCTCTTGACTGGTTTAAATCATATCTCTCTGGCCACACTCACTTTGCTCAAATCAGAAATTTCAAATCTAACTCTTCTCCAGTTACTAGTGGTGTTCCTCAGGGCTCTGTCTTAGGTCCTCTTTTATTTATTATCTATTCTCTACCTCTTGGCCAAATCTTCAAAAAATTTGGTATTCAATTCCACGGCTATGAAGATGACACCCAGCTCCATCTATCCACCAAGCCGACTTCCACTCTTTCACCCAATTCTCCTTCTGACTGCTAATTGGATATTAAATCTTGGCGACTGGAGCTCGTTGACAGCTCACTGACAGCTGTCAGAAGCCCCAGTGCCAGATGACAGCGAATACAAGTGACTGATGACCAGTCTACTACTACTACTACTACTAATAATAATAATAATAATAGTAATAGTAATATTATTTTTTTAAGTTAACAAAATCATCATAAAGATAACCAACAACAACAGGACATAACTATGGAAATAAAGACAGAGAAATGCATATACAGGTTTACTGTTGTGATTATGATATTGCATGTTAGAATCTACACTGTACGCAGTTATTACATAAAAATTTAAACTACATATATTGAAAAGCAACGAGATCAAAGCTCTCTGGTTTGACCTGCGTCTCTGCCGAGGTCTGTGAATGCCGTTTTCTTTTATCTCCAAGGTAACACATGTATGAGCAAGAGGGTCAAAGGTCAGGGCACAATATTATGACAAAGTAGTAATAATCTTAATGCTAACTTTAGCATGCTGACATGCCAATAATGACAATATCTAAATGCAGGACTGTGCATGTTCATCATCTTAGTTTAGCATGTTAACATACTGATATTTGGGAATTAGCACAATACACAAAGCAAGCTAAGGCTGATGGGAATATCATTATGTTTGCAGGTATTTGATCATTAATAAGAAATTAAGAATCTGACCTGTTGATGGTGCCAAACAAAAAATTAAGGGATCACCACAGTTGTTTAAATTCATTCCACTGGACACCAGAAATGTTTGTGCCAAATTTAATAATAATTCACCCAATACCTTGGGCCGTCGGTAGCGTAGTGGATAGTGCTGGCGCCCCATGTACAGAGGTGATGCCTCGCTGCAGCGGTCGCAGGTTTGACTCCGGCTTGTAACTCTTTGCTGCATGTCAACCCCCACTCTCTCTCTCTCACCCCATTTCACTCTGTCCTGTTCATTAAAGGCAAAAAGCCCAAAAAATAATCTTAAAAAAAATAAATAATTCACCCAATACCTGTTGTGATATTTCAGGCTGAACCAAAGGGATGGACTTACTGACCGACAGACTGACATCACCATCCACATAGCCACGGTACCAGTGTGGCTATGAAAAAAATGTGGGAAAAAACTTCACTGTGTACAGTGCATGAGATATTCTTAAAATGTACCCTTAGTTTGTTGTTCAACAATAACCACAGAGCTGTACGTCACGTCCACATCACTCTTAGCATCCGACCTCTGGGTAAGAAAGAAGACACAGACAGGAAGCATAGATCAGCTGAACAGTTAAACTTTTTCTTTAAAAATCTCTTTTTGCTTTATTCAATTACTCATATGTATGATTAAACTATAAATGTTATTTGAGTGTACTTATGTGTCTTTTCATGCACTTGTGTTGTATACTACAAGTTGTGGTTTTGATGGTTTAGGGTTACCTCATCTGGAGTTTTTCTCTTGTGCTTTACATTGCTGTATGTTACTTCCTCGTGTGCCTGATGAAAAGAAAACCAAACATTATTAAAATAACAGCTTTAAACCATTATATTACACGACATCTGATTAGATTACATCAACATGACCACATTTGGGGAAAAAAAAAAAAAAAAAAAAGGCATAATAATAATCATAATAATACTTCCGTAGGAATTACCATAAAAGTTTACTGAAAATGCAGCTGGACTTTCAGAAAACCTTCTTTCATACAATAGTAAAAACAAAATAAAGACATATTTGTAAGGGATCAGCCCCAACAATTTTCATACAGTCCCTTACCTGGGCTGGAGTTTTTCTCTTGTGCTTTACATCGCTGTATGTTACATCCTCTTGTGCCTGATGAAAAGAAAACCAAACATTATTAAAATAATAACTTTAAACCATTATATTAAACAACATCTGATTAGATTACATCAACATGACCACATCTGAAAAAAAAAGAAAAAGAAAAAGGCATAAACCATGTCATAAAAATACTTCAGTAGGAATTTCACAAAACCTTATTTCATACAATAGTAAAAAAACAAAATAAAGCAATATTTGCAAGGGTTTAGCCCCAACAATTTTCATACAGTCCCTTACCTGGGCTGGAGTTTTTCTCTTTTTCTTAACAACGCTGTATGTTACTTCCTCTTTGGCCTGTGTTAAAAGAGCAGAGGACAGAACATGAATAAGTATGAACAAATAACCATAAACTTCTTGCTGTATTTGTGATCACAGATGTGCTCAACTAAGTTTCTACGCTATTCTCTATTCTAGTTTTTATATAATGAAGCAGCATATCTTACCGTCGCTGTGGCCGATGATTCATCTTTGCTCTGCTCTAAAAGTGAATTAAAACTCGATGAACAATAGGCTATATTATGGTAAAATGTTTATGAATAACAAACAGTTTTGGCATGAATTGGATTTATAAAAAACAGCATAGACTTACTGTGTCTTTTCAGCATAAACAAGATGAACAAAGTCACCATTACCATGAAGATCAGCAAACCCAGAGGGATGATGAAGCGCTTAAGGTCAACTGAAACACTGCAACACACATTTAAAGCACACAGATAAACAGACTTGATAAAACAGTCCAACAGTGTGCAGTAGTTACACTGACCTTTTGTTACGCTGAGTTGTTGTAGGTGGTGCGTCTGCAAAAACAGGTAAAGTTCACAGGTTCAGGAGCAGGCGATAATATGGTTAAACAGCAAATGATTTTACTTTACAAACATCTATAAATTACAAATGTATGTTTAGTATTCATAAATACTTAGTACTTACTGGTGGTTGGTTGCTTATCAACAGTTACATGTACTGGCATCTGCAGGTCTCCACTGACACACAAATACCAGCCGCTGCTCTGTGCGCTCAGTCCACTCATAGTCACATTGAAAACATCGGGGACACTTGCATTGATGGTCACTGTTGTTTCATCTATTGAGCCAGATGGACTTGTCACACAGGAGCGGCCCAGCCTGCACCACTTGGTTTCTCCAGAGTTTCTATAGTGACAACTGATGGTTATTTTGCCTCCTATAAATCCTGTAATCGTCTGATGATCCACATAGAGACTGGGTGTGCCTTAAAGGAAATGAAATAGTGTTCAGTAGAAAATTACAGAAGCCTTTGATACATGCTTGTGATGTGTTATATGCAGTAGTTACAAAAAGGGTGGATAAATATTGTCCTCAATCTTTACATTTATTCTTATTAATTGTAAGTAACAAAATAGTTGCAGCGAACAGTGAGACCCTTTTTAGTGTTCACAAACAATTTGAAATGTGTGTTAAGGTGCTTTAAGGACTCTTACCTTTAGTGACTGACAGCTGAAAATACTCTCTGACATCTGACCCTCTATCAACCTCCACAGCACACCAGTAATCAGTGTCCTCAGCTGTCAAGTCTTTAAAAGTCACAGTGAAGATTCTCCGGCTTTTGTCATCAGAGATTGAAAACTGTCCTGAATTTCGTCGGTTTGTTTGAACTACATAAGAGCAGAAGTCCCAGTAATATCCTTTACACAAACCTTTCACATGGTTTATGTATTGTTTGTCATACAGACATGGGATAATGACTGAGGCTCCAGCCTTCACTGACACTTTACTGACTGTAGTTACACTGTGAACTCCTGCAACAAGAACAAAAATAGCATTTTAATAGTTATATCCACTAACAATAATCTATCTTCATATGACCTGCATATTATTTATATTAGTTGTTTTTACATATAAGGTCATTACAGTCTACAGTCTATGAAATACCAAACTGGAGAATATTACTTGTCAAACTTATTATAATAATTATAATAGTTATAATTATTATCATCTTCTGACATAATCATTAGAAGCATACAATATGCACACAGTTATAAAATGATCCCTGTGACTGACCTGTTAATCTGGTGAGGAGGAGAAGAAAGAGGAGATGAACAGCCATGTCGTTGTGAGTCAAGACAAAGTAACACGAACCAGCGCACTGTAAGACTGATCATCTACTTCCTAATTTTCCAAAATATGCAAATGCAATAGTTAAAGTGCGTCTTCCTCCATTGTAAGGAAGTTGCTTTATATTGGTTAGTTAGATGTATATAAATATCTACGCAGCTACGGAACAATCTAGCTCAATGTTGGCTGGATGTTACGTCAGGTGAATACACAATTTACAAAAAAAAGAAAGTACTCAAGGTGTATGGACTGAATTGTCTTCATTTATATAAAACATTCTTTTTCATAACTACCTCAAATATTAAAAAAATATCTTGCTTTGGTTTCAGATCACTTTTTGTCAACTGAAATGAGACTGTAAATGTCAAAAGTTACAGAAACACACAGTACACAGAAAAACACAAAAACACAGAAGCAACCCTGAATGGTGATGAAGCACCTTCTTTGAATTTTTAACATCTGTTGACCAATCACAGGATGTTGTATACCCATTGGTCCCACTGAGGCAGAAAGCCAGGACCCTTTGAAGTACTGGACTTACACATCACCCTATTTGTACTTAAAATATCTGCGTTTAGCCTGTGGTTTCGCAAATGAAATAAGGCAGTAACTGTAATTTCTAAAAAAAAAAAAAAAAAGCCCCTTAGTTTGACTGAGAACCACTGAGCAATCCCTTACTGAAAAACATGCGCTTGAGGAACCACAGGCCAGACATATTACGTCATATATTAAACCTAGGGCTAATATACATTACAGGTTCAGGATTATATATCAATTTGAGCTTTACGCCTCATAAATAATACCGTAAAAAATGCAGAGAAGCGTAAAAAAAAAGGTGTAACAGAAACAAATGAAAAAGGAGAAGGAAAACGTTACTGCACAACAGCTGATAACACCTTGCAACACTCCAGTCTAAGAAAAAAAAAAAGTCCAGTAATAGAGACATGTAAAGACAGACAGACATTTAAACGTTGTGGTGGTGCTGAGCCAATGTGCTGTATGTGACATCCTTATCTTCTGCTTCAACCTGTTGGCGAATGAAAGCAAATACGACAATTAAGTAGGAAGAGCAAAGATAATTTGTTTTTAGTCTGACAAAGACTAAAAAAGGGGCGTAATTAGATGGTAAATTCTTCTGTCATACCAATGTGATGATTTGAAATGAAAGAACAGGAAGTGAGAAACAATATGATACTTACCCTTTTTCCAGGTTTTTGCTTCAGGGTGACCACAGAGCTGTACATCACGTCCACATCATTCTCAGCGTAGGACCTCTGGGCAAGATAATAATGAATTTGAAATTAGTTTATTGAGCTGCACTTGGTCAAATATGTTAAAGAAGTTCGATCACTAAGGTCTCCTGTGTGTCTTTTAGTGTGCTGTATCAAGGCCGGAGCCACTGAGTCACCACTGAGGGGGAGGGACTACTTTCTACATAAATTACACATGCAGCTAAACATAAATGATTGACACTTTGCTCAGACTTCACATGGGCTATGTGACAAATGTCTAATTACTGCCTTGGCTTGTATTGTTTACCACAAATTGTGTGTTAAGGTTACCTGGCCCAATGGTTTTCTTTTGAAGCCAATATTAGCGTATGCAACTTCCTCTTCAGCCTGTGATGAAGAAGACACCAAATGTCATTCTCAGAAAGTCAGAGTTTATCTAAATTTCCACCTTAGTAACCATTTCATAAAAAAATATTTTCTTTAACGGCACGTGCATCATTGGTTTCTGAAAGTGATTACCATGTTCTCCTGATAAAAACCCACAAGATATAACACATCCTGCGATTGTTCTGCAATGGCACAGTCCTGCAGCTTATACTCTTTTGCAGAGAAACTGTACATTTAAAGATTTTTTTTACACCAGATTTCTAGATATCGCTGCAGTTATGGGTTACCTGGCTTGAAGTTTTGCTCTTGTGTTGAACAGTGGTGTACGTTACTTCGTCAGCCTGTGTTGAAGGAGCAAAGCAAACGTCAGAGGACTTCATCAAACCTTCCTTCAGACAGTGTTAAAAATACATCAATTAGAGCACAACTATATTTATAAAAGAGGAATTATCATATATGTTAAAATAGTCAACATGTAGACAAGTCTTTTTTGTCGATAGAGCAAACCGATTGTCACGACTGAAATACAAAGCTGTTGAGGCATTGAATTTTCCATCATACAGTTTAAATCATATTAAATTGTTACAAAACAGTCACCATGAACTATTTTTGTACAGATAAAAATCCTTTTCAAAGCAAAGACAAAGCATGATGATCAGAGGAATGACCGTAACTGTAACATTCGCTAAACTAAGCGGGCAAAGTTCACCACCATAACCTGTCACCAAAATTAGATGAATAAACCCCAGAAGAAATCTGCTGAAGATTTAGTGACATGCTCATTCTCAGTCTTGATGTCAAGTATTTTCTTTGATTAAAACTAGAACAAAAATCAGGATAAAGTTGACTAAATATAACTAAAACTCTCAAGGCCTGTTAATCTTTGGAGTTGAAAGATACATCTTGCGGATGCGCTGGGACACATCATCAGTGATGTAACCTGGGGTGTTTTGGGTCTTTCAAACATCAGACACCCTCGCCCAGGCGTAACCACGCCAAAACAACCAACAAACAACAACTTAGCTGTAACTCCATCTGTGCACTCCTGCTCTCTCCTCCAGCTCGCTCATACACACACCAGCACGCGCACTCACACAGCCCTCCTCATCCCCCGCACCTCATTCAATCCCAAACATGCCATTAACTCACAGAACATTGACATTATAACAGAACATTTACTGCAGGGTCACTACAATACATAGCCTATAACATTATCAAATCATAGCTTTAACAAAAAAAAAACACGTCATATCTGACTGGGCCCGGCCTGGGTCCGTCAGAGGGATGGGGGCTCCCGGCCCGACCCGGCTCGGGCTCCGGCAGAGAATCTAAGCTCTACCCTGCACTCCACCTCTGCTGACTTGACTATCATGTTCATGGCGAGAGTGAAAAGGATGACTGAGATGGTGCAGCTGGCAGAATTAATACTAATTTGGTTAGAAACCAAAGTACTGGACAAACTGAAAATTTGACCTAATGATGCCGCTAGATAAAAAGTTAATGGATCACAAAGGATAGTACAATTCATCCATCAATGCCAGTACCAAATTTCAGTATCAATCTACCCAATAGAAGTTGATACAGTTCACTCACCAAAAATATGCAACTCACGGTGGCACAATGGGAAAAGTTAAAGGATCACCAAGAGTCATTAGCATTGTCCTAGGAATCATGAAAGTGTTCAAAGTCTATTTTGGAAAATTCATCCACATACTGTATCTTACCATTCTTGTGGCTGATGATTCTGCTTGGGTCTGTTCTAAAAGTCAAACAAAATATATTTAGGAATTACAAACATTTGGCATAAATGGGATTGATCAAACGTCTGACTGTGACTTACTGTGTCTTTTCAACAAAAACCAGATGAACAAGGCCACCAGTACAATGAGGATCAACAAACACAGAGGGATGAGGAGGCTCTTTAGGTCAACGGAAGCTCTGCGGCATACATATTGGGTGCACAATACAAATCAGTTAGGTAACCGGCCTGTTTTTATACTGTTTTATACTGTTATATACTGTGCAGGATTTTCTAAAAACAATGCATAGACTCATACACAAGTAATCCCTCTCAGTGTCTTGTGACCCGCTAGAGGTGTGAGGCATTGTATTTTTCTCTGCCATCTCTGCCTTATTTTCCTCTTATTTTCTGGGCTCGTGGACATTTATAGGTGTGTGCTACCACAGCACTCATGAGATTGGAGCTTTAAAGGCAGCAACAGGGTGTAAGACCATAAGCAGCAGGCATCCAAAAGACACAGCGCTGAAACATAGCGAGCCGAAACGCCAGCGGATTTAGAAACAGTAACTGACAATCCTGCATAGTATACCTTTAACCAATGCTAAAATACAGTGTAAGTCTAAGTTAGGGTACGTTCTCTAAAAACTGCATGTAAAAACAAAGACTGACCTGGTAAACGATCCGCCTCCAGTATTAGGAATGAGATCGGGAGTAGATGACAAAGTGGAGAACCTCTGTGTTGTTGCAAGAGTGGCTATAATCCAAAACAAGACAATGATAAGCAGAGTAAAATGACATTATCTATTTCTGATATCTCTTCTATGATAAATCAAATCAAATGCCTGTGCTTGACAAATATACTTTTATAATTGTTGTACTTACTGGTGGTAGGTTTCACAGTAACGGTTAAATGTACTGGCATCTGTAAGTCTCCATTAACACACAAATACCAGCCGCTGCTCTTTGTGCTCAGTCTACTCATAGTCACAGTGAAAGCATTGGGGATCATCCTAATGATGGTCACTCTTGTTCCAACTATTGATCCAGATGTCATCGTCACACAGGAGCCACCCAGCCTACACCACTTGATTACTCCAGAGTTATGATAGTGGCAATTGATGGTTATATCATCTCCAATAAACCCTGTGATCGCCTGTTGAGCTACATAGAGACTGGGTGTGCCTTAAAGGAAAACAAATTCAATAGAAAAGTGTGGGTAGCCTGACAACAATCACTCACCAGAACAAACAATGAGACCCTGCTTTGGGGTTTTCCTTATAACTGTTAAAATGTTGCAAAGGATTTGAAATGTGCTTAAAGGCCTAAGGGCTCTTACCCCTGGTGACTGACAGCTGAAAATACTCTCTGACATCTGACCCTCCATCTATCTCCACAGCACACCAGTAATCAGTGTCCTTAGCCGTCAGATCTTTTATAGTCACATTGAAGATTCTTCGGCTTTTGTCATCAGAGATTGAAAACTTTCCAGAATTTCGTTGGTTTGTTTTAACTACATAAGAGCAGTGGTTCCAATAAAATCCTTTACACAAACCTTTCACATGGTTTATGTATCGTTTGTCGTACAGACATGGGATAATGACTGAGGCTCCAGCCTTCACTGACACTTTACTGACTGTAGTTATGCTGTTAATCCCTGCAACAAGAATAAAGACAATATTTTACTGCACATATCGCCAACAATAATCCTCTTACACGTAATTGTGCCTAGATTACTCATAATCTGAAGACAAACTGGTGTGTTATTCATCCGACTGACATTTTAGAATTGACATAACGAGCTAAAGCATAAGACTAAACATCTGTGCACATAAAATGACACGGGTTACTGACCTGTGAGTCCGCAAAGGATCAGAAGAACTCTGAGATTAACAGCCATGTCTGTGAGTCAGCAGAGTAAGACTAAATGACACGGACCGATGCACAGACTCATTTTTTTTCTTCCTGATATTACTTAACATCTCTTCCTCTTCCTTTTAAGCAATTACATTTATTTGGTTTGACGGCAAAGCACATAATCATGCTGCTACATTTTGCTTTGAGTATGTGAGTTTACAAAAACGAAGTGCTTTACAGTAAAAAAAAATCACAAGTAAAAACAAATAACAATTAAATCTTTTCAGTAAAAATAAAATCAACAGAGATGCATATTTTACATTTTCTATTGGCCCTACAATAAAGGCTAACAGGATGTTGTGAGAATCAAATTTGATCTTGTTAAAGCTAGGAATGAAAATGAACAAAGGTCCTCCCTGGATCATGATAGTTTTCAAATGCTAAATGTCAACCTGGTGACTGAAGAAGCTGCATCAAGAGATGATATGAGTTAAACTGTTGCTCTACCATTTAGCCACTTCCTTAATTTGGTCAGTTTTACTGGCCTCTGATCTGCTCTTGATCCAAAGTCAACTTTTGCTTTTACTCAGTGTTTCAAACTGACAGCGACAAATTCACCACAGCACACCTTTAAAGTTTTAACACCACTGTGCTAGCGTTGCCTCCTTAATTCTTGCTTTTTTTAGCATGTGTGTGTGAAAAATTTAACATTATTTGATAAACTGTATGTGTGTGGGTTTGCATAGAAGAACGTCCATGACTAAAAGTCTTTAAATTTGACATGGCTCCAATAACACTGACTGCTGGGTTGATTGATTTATCCGAAATGTTCTAACCTCCATCCTCCAGGTCTGAAAAGCAAGTGCCTTAAACCTGCATTCTTTCTAATAGCCAGAAGAGGGTGACTCCAGTGGGTGCAAGCAAAAGTCTGATTGTACTGGGATCATAGGGTCCATGAGAAGATGACCCTGCCTCTCATTTCCTTTATCACCTCAGTAAAGCTTTTCCATTACTGGTTGCAAGTCCTCTTCAATACAGCATGATGTCCATTTTGTAAATTATGATCCCATTTAGAGTAAAATAGACAATAAAGCAGGGTATACTTTAGAGCGTGATAGAAAGGTTGCTACCATGGTGACCTGTCAATCAGTACAGAGGCATAGCAGTGGGAATCCTTCACAGCTCCACCCATTCATCCAAATATGGTCACTTCTGGCTCCAAAAACAAGATGGTGACGGCCAAAAAATTTCAAAATTGCAGTCCACAAACCAGTGGGTGATGTCATGGTGGCTATGTTCACTTCTTTTTATACAGGCACTTGTAACATACCACAAATAAAGTGCACATCCGATTGATTTCATCAGTGTTGCCATACTTGCACGACTGACGTTCTCCCATGTTCTCTGCTAACACGCACTTAAGCTTTTCTAGAGTGTACTGTGCTGTAGATCACACTTCCATCTACTGGTTCAGCCTTGTAAGAGAGAACAAGCACAGATAAGAGAATGCTGAATAATTATAGATGAAAATCATGACCACAATACTAACCCATTTCAGTCACTAAGAGATAGCTGTCATTGTTAGATGCCACGTACCATTTGTCGCACGCGATCTTTCAACACAATGTTACTGTATGTCACACTGTCTTCATTCTGCTGAAAGAGATTCACACTCAAAGTAATACAATTTCAGGGGAAAGACAAATGCAAATGTAGGCAAAAGTGTTTTCAGGCACTGTTGTCTTTTATGCTTTGTTGAACAAAATAAAATATTCTCATCTGGTTTACCTTCTGCTGGTCTGCTACATGTTGCTTATGAACAATGGTGGCATACTGCACATCAGGATCACTCCCAGTATGTGAGCCCTGAGGGGTGAGTTTGAAAATTTGACATTAATCTCATTGTATGTTACGTTATGTTAGAATTATTTGCTTTCTCCTGTGTGACTGAACAGTTTGGTTCATTTGAATATTACTGGACAAGTCGCTTTGCATATCAGAGGTTTGCCTTCATGGAGTGTATGTCAGTGTTATGCTTAATACCATTAACCCCTTCCAGACCCATCTTATCTGTCAGTAAACCTACTGATAGCCATATGATCTGGAGTTTAACTTATGCAAAGAGCAGTCATGTACAGTGTACAGTATGTTTAATTTCCTCTTTGGTTTTAAACATTTACAATTGTTTGTCACACAAGGTCTGTGTTGACCCTACTTTACATAGTGTGACAGTGCTGGTTAGAGCAGCACAGAAGCTGAAGAGACCTCTCAGCAACAACATAGAGGCTACTTGGGAATGAGAAAACTTGAAGGAAGGAAGGGTTGCTGCTGATAATCAATGCTAATTTATTGTTCTGATTATAAAAAAACTTTGTCTTTTCATTTTATCAAGGCTTAAAATAACAAGACAATGCTTTAAAAATGTTCCAGTTTTGCCGTATTGAGCTGCAAATGAGCCACATATGTCATATCCATACATCTATTTGTTGTTGGCCTGTATATGTTATTTCCGTTTTGTATTATCTGCAGTATATTACCATGCACCATGCTTAAGTAGATCTAGTCACTGAGTAGCTCACACTCAGTGTAGTCTTATTGAAACCATTGTAAATCATACACTTGATTGTTCATGTTCCTGAAATGCTGTTTACTTCATGTCCTGATTTGGACATATTGTAAAAAATCTTTTATGTACCAAGCAAAGAGGAAATATGCCAGTGAGGAAGATGACCACACATTTATTACCGTACTAATACTGGGAAACACATAGCTATATCTTACCGCAGTGATGTCCGTCCTCTGAGGCTTGTTTTTATCTAAAAGACATTTTGAAGATATTACAAAATAACAGATATCTTATTCCTGAATATGTTTTAGCACAGAGATTAAAGCAGACTTACATCTTCTCATTATCTTCCACCCCAAAAAGGCAGCAAGTACAATCAACAGCAGTAAGATGAGGGTGGTGGTGAGAATTATCACCATAGTGGAACTAGAGGATGAATGCAGATCAGAGTTACATTTAAGCACGAATAAAGAGGTAGTGTATGTTGTCTGAAATTGGCCTATGCATACATTTTTCTTCCATAGGTTGAATTTATAAAACTAGAATGCAATGCATAAGCTTAAATTCAATTTCATCTATGATTAACATGGAGTTTGTCTGACAGAAAATGTGCTGAACTATATGCAACAAAACAAATATATATGCTCAAGAATGAATGATAAAAAAATCAAAAACAAACTTCCATGCTCAAATCTGTGATTAAGTGTTTTGAAGAGATCGTACAGTATACAGCATATCAGTTGTGATGTAAACACAAAAGGTAGGAAGGGGATGATATGCAGAAAAAAAGCTGTTAATCAGATCTGAACCCAGTTAAGCTGTTGAGAGTGAAATAAAGAAATACAGACCTCTTGTTCTCATCTTGCTGGCTCTCTCCAGCTGTCCCGTTTATGGCGGAGTTTGTGGGCTGAGCTGTGTGTGGCTCTGCACTCGTAAGCAGGGAGGAATGCTGGGCGGTGGTTGGAAGTGTCGTTATAATGTCTCGAATAAAAAAAAACATGAAAATTAATGTTAATCCACATTGAGAACAATGTGTTTTTACACCGCATATTGTGGATTATTATATTGTAATTCTCAGATTTTAAGGTAAATTGCATGAATACATTCTAAACTGCAGGATTAACAGACATTGTGACAGGATTTGATTTGTGTTACGTTTGCTGTGTCCACTTATTATGAAAGGTCGCTAATTTATGTAAATAGAAAAAGGTTAGTATCTTACCTGCTGTACTGGGAGTCGTTGTAGTTGTAGTTGTAGTTGAGGTTAATGCATGAACAGTTATATGCACTGGCATCTGAAAGTTTTTAATGCCGCACCAGTACCAGCCACTGCTGTCTGTCCTCAGTCCACTCATAGTCACAGTGAAAACACTGGGTGCACTTGCATTGATGGTCACTCTTGTTCCATCTATTGATTCAGATGGCTCTGACACACACCTGACAGGATGCAGGTGTGAGAGCCTGCACCACTTTCGTTCTTTTCTTTCTTGACAGTGACATCTGACAGTCACACTTCCTCCTTCATATGCTGTTATTTCTTGTTGGTTCACATACAGACTTGGAGTACCTTGACAAAAGCACAAAATAAAGCATAATTTGATTTCATTACCTGAGACGTGAGTGAAAAGATTTCTTTTCCCACCAAGTAGTTTACAGAAATAATTTCATGTGTGTTTGAAACATTTAATGGATTTTACCTGTGGTGACTGACAGCTCAAAACGCTGTTCATCAGCACTGTCCACAGCATACCAGTAACTAATGTGCTAATCTTTTCGTTTTTTTATAGTCACAGTGAAACAGATGCTTTGGTTTCGGTCATCAGAGATCAAAAACTTTACTGAAAAATGTGCATTAAGAAGCATCAAGGGTGCTTACCTCTGGTAACTGACAGATGAAAATACTTTTTGACATCATTCTCCTTATCCATCTCCACAGCACACCAGTAATAAGCAGTGTCCTTAACTTCCAGATCTTTGATAGTCACAGTGAAGATAGTTCGGTTTGGGTCATCAGAGATCAAAAACTTCCCTGAATCATCTGGCTCATTTGTTTTAACTTTATATCTGCAGAAGTCCCAAAAGTGTCCTTTACACAAGTATTTCACATGGGTTTTGTATTCCGGCTCATAGAGACATGGGATGGAGATGGAGTCTCCAGCCTTGACTGACACTTTACTCACTGTAATAATTTGGCTGTGGATTCCTGAGAAAACAACAGCAGACACTTATTTTATAGGGATACATTCAAAAGCATTGTGTACATCACCATCAGTTACAGTTTACTCAGTGACATAGCTACATTACACATCTGTTACAAGTTAGTATCAAGTTCAATCAAGTTTTTTTGTAATTAAAACACAACATAAATATCTAATATTCACTCAAACTGTATTACTGAACAGCAATATAACAGCTAACATTCTTTTAATTATAAACCTGACTATCATTTCTGCATAGTGCTCTTATTAAGGCTTAGCTGACCTACCCATGAGTCCAGCGAGTATTAGGGGAAGCACAAATAGAGATGTCATGTCTGCAGTGCCCTGAGTAAATGAGCACATTCAGTATTACGATGGGTTATTCTAGCTCGGTTACTTCCTCATTTTAAATGCTTCTCGTCTGGATGAGATGTAAATCTACTGGTCATTGTGTTTATGGCTTTAAAACAATATATTACTTGTTTTACATTTACTACCTTTAGAGTCAGATGTGTACAGTGTATAGACATTTATGTTTAATTAATTAATTAAGTCTAATTTAAGACCTGAAAGTTGTCTGTAATGTCTCTGCTCTTAATTCCAACATACACTCCCCCTCAGAGAAAAGTGCTCTTACCACAACAAGGACTGTTAAAACTTGGCCTGGAGGTGCCTCTCATGAGCTGCAGGACTTCCAAAGAACCAACTGGGAAATTTTGGAACATCAGGACCTGGACAACTACATGGCTGCTGTCCATGGCTACATAAAGTACTGCATGGTGCTGCCAGAGCCAACCTGAAGAGAGGCATCAGAGAGGCCGAGGCAGCATACAGGACGAAAATAGAAGACCACCTCAGCAGCAGCAACAACACAAGGCAGGTGTGGCAGGGGGTCCAGCACATCACCAGCTACAAGTCGGAGGAGTTGAACCTCTTCGCTTTGAGGTGGAGTCACCAGAGGTGGACACATCACACCCAACAGCCCACAGCAGCAACATACTCATGGTGGAGGAGCGTGAGGTGCGCACTATGATGGTGGTGATTTTGAGGAAAGCTGCGGGACCTGATGGCGTTACTGGACTGGTGTTGAAGGACTGCGCAGACCTGCTGGCTAAAGTCTTAACCAGGATCTTCAACCAATCCCTATATGCAAGTCCACTGTCCTGCCTGAAGTCCTCTATTATAGTCCCACTGCCAAAAAAGACCCCCATCAGCAGCCTGAACGACTACCATCCAGTGGCACTGACACCAATGGCTATGAAATGCTTTGAGCAGCAGGGCAGCTATGCAAGGCGGCTCTTTATGTATTTTAGCTCAGCATTCAACACCATCCTCCCCCACAGATTGGTGTCAAAACTGGCAGATCTGGGACTTTCCTCATCCATCTGCATCCATCTGTCAGATCGCTCCCAGAGGGTTAAAGTAGGCCCCCATAACTCCAGAGCTCTCAACCTCAGCACTGGCGCCCCACAGGGCTGTGTGGCGAGCCCCCTACTCTACACCCTCCACACCCACGTCCAAGTCCACTCCCACTCCAGCAACACCATCATTAAGTTTGCTGATGATACAACAGTGATGGGACTTATCTCAGGGGGGGAGTTGGCATACAGAGATGAGCTGCTGACTGGTCCTCAACACCACCAAGTCCAAGGGGCTGATCATTGACTGCAGAGGGAATAAAACAGACATTCAGCCATTAAACATCAGTGGGGACACTAACCAGTGAGCAAGACCAGAGTGAAAGACTGAGGCTTTTTTCACCAGACACTTTTCAAGGAAAAATATTTGTAGCCAAAAAATAAATAAATAAATAAATAAATAAATAAATCACACCCCAGCCACCCCTGACCTCTGACAAGTAAAGAACAGCCCCTAAGCGGCTAAGGACCCAATACTAAAATAGTGGGGGGTTCCTGCTCTGTCTCTCTTTTAGCTAAGGGGTCCTTGGTCTGAAAAATGTTAAAGAACCCTGATTTAAACAATAAAATGCTAACTCTTAGCAGAAATGGCAAGTCACTACTGTGGGTGGTAAGCTAACTTTTGCAGCTTACCAGTTAACTCGCTACGACAGTTCTTACCTTCAGTTTCTTGTTTTTTGAAGGGCTAAAAAATGACTTAAACTCTCTATATACTGACTAGACTAGTGCTCTAGAGACTAGAGCCTCTGAACCAGAACCACACATTTTCTGCATGTTGACAAATTTAAAGTTTGACAACCCCCCGCGCCTGTAAATTGTCAGCCATGATTGGACATTTGCTGTTTGAGGGAGGAGTTACTATAAGCAGTCATTTGGGGGTAATTTTGCCAAAAAGTGGCGAATTTTTTGCCCATTTTCCTCTTTTTATGGAGTATGCCAACGTTGGCAGATTATTTTACATTATTTATACATGTTCGTATTATTTATACACACCCATAAAGAGCAGTAGACTGTGTACAATTTCTAGTTACCACCGTTATCTAACTATTATAACAACGGATGACGCACTCACCACTGCGTCGCCTTTTGATGACGTTATTATGTAACTCCGGTTGACTGCGCGAAATACAAAGCGACAAGAGAAGGTTTCGGCGCCGGTTGCGCTTCAGTAAGCCAGTCAAAGCTATGCGAATAACAGCACCACCAGCCAGTTGGTGTATATTTTATCCTCGCTGACCGACTCTCCTCTTCTGCAATGGAGTACGGGAAGGAGAGAGTGGTAGCTTTAGTGGACATGGATTGCTTTTACGTGCAGGTGGAGCAGAGGCTCAACCCAGCTCTGAAGAACACTCCCTGTGTGGTGGCCCAGTACAAGACGTGGAAAGGAGGCAGGTGAGTTTCTGACACAGAGACTGTGTTTTTTTATGATCAACGCAACTGAAAGCGCCAGTCCCTCGATTAGAAAGTGATGGAAAAAAGCTGTTTGTAGTTTAACTCGATGCTGTTGTGCAGTTAGCTTGGTTTGTTCTGCTTCATACGACAGTGCTGCAGTTAGTAACGTAAACAACCCTCTTTTTCTCCCAAAATTCAGTAAATTAAAGCTTTACTGTCATGATCACAGCTACTGCATATTGGCAAAGCACCCTGACTGCACTGAGAGGTAGTAGGAGCATCGATCATGGAGTACAGATTAGATATTTCATGTAATAGAGCTCATAAAACTAAGATGCAAAACAAGAGCTGCAGAATGAGATAAGCTAAATCACAGGAAAGACTCACAAGAATGACTAGGCCTAAGCGAAATGAAATTGATTGAAATGACAATCTGAACTCAGGGTCCTCTTACTGGCTTTGCAAAGTTGCCATCATGAGGAACTGAAAGTGGATCATACCCCCCTTCATGCTCTTTCTCAGGCTGTTCACTGACATCTGGCCGATGACTTTGACTCCTTCCCTGTCAATGCTGTGATTGGACAGCTTGAGATTGCGTTTGTTTTCAGTTGCAGGGACCATTTAAATTGCTGTCTCTGTGTTGGCAACTCATCCGCCTTCATTCCCCACAGATAACCCATCTTGGACTTCCTATGATCATGGTTTGTAAACATGTGGTTCTCAACTAAATATCATCCTCTGTTAGTATCATAGCTGTGAGCTACGAGGCCAGGGCCCATGGCGTCACCAGGAACATGTGGGTGGACGATGCAAAGAAACTGTGCCAGGATCTCCAGGTGGCACGAGTGCGTGAGTCTCATGGCAAGGCAGACCTGACACAGTAAGTACTGGTGATGTACTGTCCTGAGATTATGCCATAAACCAATTCTTCTGTTCATAGCCTTAATAAAAATATTGTGCTATTTCAATACCTCCACTCCTGTGACCAGTTGTAAAGATAACCACCTCACCCCTGTGTAGTTACAGGGAGGCAAGCGTGGAGGTGATTGAGGTCATGTCCCGCTTTGCTGTGATTGAGAGAGCCAGCATTGATGAAGCCTACATGGATCTGACTGCTGCGGTCCAGCAGCGACTGAAAAACATGACCGATAGTCAAATTGAGCCTCACCTGCTGAAGACGACCTACATCCAGGGGTACCCGCAAAGCTCACCTGAACAGGAAGAATCTGCCGAAGAATCTGCCTTGGATAAAGGTAGGCTATAACCAAGCTTTGACTAACTGAGAACTCACTTCATTGTTTCAGCACCTGACACTGGAAACTGGTGTTGACACTTAACAAAACCCCCAAAATCTGGTAGAAAGTATCCCCCTAACAGTGTTGTGTTTGTCCCCAGAGGAGCAGAGGTCCAGAGGTCTCCAGCAGTGGCTGGCATCCTTACCTGTCCCTCTATTAGGGGAACAGAACTCTGCAGAACTGCAGCTAACTCTGGGGGCAATCATTGTAGAGGAAATGAGAGCAGCTGTAGAGAAACACACAGGTTTCCGCTGTTCAGCAGGTATATCACACAACAAGGTAGGAACATTTGTTTCTTGAAATATAATGTAGGTGTGATACTCGAGCGGTAATTGTCATCGCTGTGGTCATCGTTTCCTGTCTTCTTTTCCCAGGTATTGGCCAAACTAGCTTGTGGTCTGAACAAACCCAACAGACAAACTGTTCTGCCTTTGGACTCTGTGACAGAACTTTTCAACTCTCTTCCCATCGGCAAGATGTGAGTTCAAAGCACTACTTTGTCATAAAGACTCTACTCATCACAAATTACTCTTATCTTTAACACAGAAGTGTGAAAACAAGAGTCGACTAAAAATTCACTGCACTTTTGTATTGCAGCCGTAACCTGGGGGGGAAGCTGGGTGCCTCCATTACAGAAACTCTGGGAATAGAGAACATGGGGGATCTGACTCGCTTCTCTCAGGCTGAACTGGGACAGCACTTTGGAGAAAAGACAGGGTAAGACGAGCCAGATATTCCGTTAAAAGTGTCATAAGATGACTGACGGACAAAGGTCTTGCTTGGTCTTTGCAATTATTATGCCAGATACCATCTTAATATTAAGTAAAATGGACATAATCATAACATGGCCTAAGTTCCTAATGTATTTTTATTGATTTATTTAAACTTTATTTAACCAAGAAGTCCTATTGAGACTGAAAATCTCTTTTACAAGAGAGACCTGGCCAAGGTAGCAGCCAATCAAAACACATTAAAATGCAACAAATACAAAATACAATACAAAAATCCACAATAAAACAACAACTATTCAAACATAGTGTCTCTATCCATGTCCATGGTGCATAGATGGAGAACGCAGTTTTCCCCAGATCTGTTAAAACCCGGGGTAAATTAATGACCTTATTACCTTAGTCAATAATTTAATTTACTCTTTTAGTTCACCTGAGTCCATGTGCTTATAAATCAAATGGATCTGGGCAAAGATTTTCAAACCATAGTGTGTAAAAAGT